ACATATGTTGTAGGGTGAACCATTTGCCCTTCTATGTATATATGGAAGTATGTAACAAATCTTTTGAACTTAATCAATGGAATGCATTTGTCCAAATACATTATAGGTGGTTCTTTGGAAGAGATTGGCTATGGAAAGAATGATATCCGAATTAACCATATGTGATACATTTAGTGCCGAGGGGTTACGGGGTAAGGCTATCCGTTATCATTCATCAACATGCCTCACATTTAGTTGGCGAATAAAGTACCTTGCGTCCATAGCATTGATCCAGATTGTGGCCAAAGCATCCATAACAGGGTTTTGGTGGTAGCCTATTACATCCATGACAAAGTTTTGGTCCATAGTAAGGGACCCAAAGCATCCAACATTGTTTTGGTGCTACGTGTTCATATCATTACATGTGTTGCTGCCTATCATATATATTCACAAAAGTGAGCAAAAGCTACGTGTTTTCCCTATCATTCACAAAATGGAAACGCTCCTTAAAGGGCGTCCGTCTAGATGGATTGGGCAAATGGTCCCTGTATTTCTCATCATTAATGCTTTTGTTGGATGGGTGACTACTAGGACCAAGGGCCCTTGAATCAAAAAAGTGTGTCGCTTTACTCACTCTACTTGCGGGAAGGACCCCATCCTTGCTAAACGATGACACTGTCCGAACGCCATGCTTGCCTACGATCTTGGTTTGTATGTCGATTGGTTTGAAATCCTTCGTGGTTTCACGGACTCATCGGGTTATACTGACTTAAGTTAGCTAAATTATGCCTTGTTGAAGATTTTCTTACTTAATCTCGTATAATTGGTCGGTTCTGTTACAACATGCTGACGTGCTAGGCGCTCGCTAGCTCGCCTCGGACTCCGCCTCCCGTTGCGGTCATGCTCCATCCGCCTGCCATTGCCCCTACCGAGGTTCATGGCGCTGACGAGCTCCACACCGGTGACCTCTGCGTCACTCCGCGGCTTTGAGCTCTATGCCAACATCGAGCTCCGTGTCAACGAGCTTCCATTCATCCAAGCAGCAAGCAGATGCTACGCTAAAAGCGCATGTTACAATAGTATGTTTTAAGTATTTCAGATGTTTCCAAGGTATGTTGCAAGTGTTGTATATCGATGTTGCAAAAATAGATCGGGATGTTACAAATGTTGTAATAGCTATACACATATGTTTTAAGTGTATGTTGCAAATGGTTTCATCTATTCCAGATGAATGTTGCAAGTGTTCTATCTCTATGTTGCTAAAAGTAGATCTAGATATTGCATATACATGCATGTTGCAAGCATATGTTTCAAGTGTTTTCAGGTGTTTCGTACGTATGTTTGCAAGTGTTTCATTTGGATGTTGTATATGTTTGCAATGGTTTTCAAATATTTTTAGGCGTTTTCGTAAGTGTTTCAGACGCTTGTTTCAAGTGTTTCATCTGTCTTCTTTTGTATGTTGCAACTGTTGCATCTGAATGTTTTAAAAGTAGATCGAGTGTTGCACATGGGATGCGCGTGGAAAGCGGCCGGCGGCGTGGATGACGTCCGGAGCGGCACGGGACCACTACTGGTGTGCTCCCTCGCGAGCCCGACGCGCTAGGCGCTCGTTCGCTCCCTGTGCGGCAGTGTCCGGATGCAAGCGCCCGGATCGAACGTCCGGGCGCTGGTAAGTCCGTTCACAAAAGAGGGATGACCAAAAGAGATGTGCAAATCTGTCTTGCACTTCAACCATGCTGCTGATGATCTGGCACCTTCTTTGACACACCGCCCGGACACACCGTTTCTTGGTGAACATCTTCTCCAAACAACACCAACTCGCCGGGACGCACCATAATTGCCCAAAGTCGCCCATCTGTCGCAAGCAACAGACACTCTATCCCCACTTTTCACTATGTTTTTTCAGCAAAACCTTGAACGGAACTTAAAGCTTCTTTCTTTTTTTCCCCTAAAAGGAGCATCAGCAGCGCGCAGTAGCCTGCACTTTCTTTCCATGGACAAAGTTGATAGCTTGTATCAAAAGATCAAGAAAATACTATAAAGTTTCCGAGAATCTTAGTAGAATCAAAGTATCAGTAGTATGGACACGACTTTAGAAAACGGATCGGGGTATCGAAAACCTTTTGGTATGAAAGGTGCAGACAACGACGGGGGAGTGCAGCTGCGGCAGCCGCAGCGGAAATGGGAGACACCAGACAACAATGGGGGTTAGTGCGTTGGGTCACTCGAAAACCAGAAAATATGCCAACTCAACTCTCATCGGGCCGCATATGTAAAGTACTGTATGCAACATGTTCAGGCTTAGAACAACACGTAGTACTCTATTCGTTCCAAATTATAAGTCATTTTGACTTTTTTGTTTCATACATTTTGTTACATATATATAACAAAATGAAAGTATCAAAATAGTCAAAGCGGCTTATAATTTAGAACGGAGGGAGTAGTATGCAACATCAAAGCATCCAAATACTTGGTGCACACGACAGATTTGCACATGACAGTGAAGGGGGATACACGTGGGCACGTGGCTACAGCATATTAGTCGATGACACGTTCAGCATCTCAACCTAAAAAAAACTGATGGGCCCGCAGTTTTCCTTTGCAGTAGAGACGAAACGGGCGCGGTGGCAAGCGGCCCGGCCGCGAGCGTCGCCTGCAGTGGGCCGTGGGATCGCATCGAGCCCACGCCACGAGTGGGATCCACCCGGACATGCGGCGCCACCAGTGCGTGCATGTCGGAAGTTCTGCACAGAGCTTGAGTGTCTGGCTGGACCGCCGCCGTGCCCAGCCCGCAGGCCGACGACGCCATGGGCCGGAATGCATGCCTCTCGACGGTCGGCGGCGGAGCCATACCATACGGCATACGCGCCGGTGACACGCACGCACGCACACCATCGGCACATGCGCCCCCTCCCGTCTCCTTAATTATCACCATCAGCTCGCGACGCAGCAGATCGCCGCTATCCTATCACCACGGCATGGCGTCTGCCCATTCCCAGCATTACCATCCGGAAGGGAGCAGACACTAGTAGTTAGTGTAAGGAGTACGTTAGTATAGCAAGGTCTTGTTTAGATCATTCGTCAAAACTTTACATCATGTCCCAAGGTCTTGTTTAGATCATTCGTCAAAACTTTAAATGTTTGACATATATATAGAGTATTAAATATATATTAAAAAATAACTAATTGCACAGATTATGACTACTTTGCGAGGCGAATCTTTTAAACCTAATTAGTTCATGATTTGACAGCAAAGTGCTACAATAACATATGTGCTAATGATGGATTAATTAGACTTAATAAATTCATCTCGTGGTTTACTGGTGTATTCTATAATTTATTTTTTACATGCTTATCTAAACAAGGCCTAAATTATCCTCACTTCAAGTAAGTGGCACACTGTGTTTAATGATATGTTAGGGGATGTTTGGTTCGAGTTACTAAACTTTAGTAGCTATTAAACGATTTAGTCACTTTTAGTAATTCCAGAATTACTAGAGATGACTAAAGTCTTTTTAGTAGCTTTTAGTCATAGTATTTAATTAAAAAGTTACTAAAGTGACTAAAAACTACTAAATTTAGTAGCTACCAGCCAAACATGCACTTATGTTATCTGAGTATGCATGTCTCGATCCGAGCGACGACGACAAAAGACGCACTCATTCTTTTCCCCTGGTGGACGAAGCACGTCCAACACGCCTGCCTGTCGTCGCTCCATCGCAGCTTCGCTTCAACGCAAGTCCCACCTCCTCCCTCCTTTCCACGTCTGCCTGACGCACCCCCGCGTGCCGGGCTGCCGGCGGGGGCGGCCGCGGCGAAGCACGGCCGAGATGACACGCACGCACGCATGGCCTGCCGCCCGGAGCCACGCATACCATGCTCACCGCGCCCGTCCATGCCTTTGCCTGACTGCTTCTGTTCCCGAGGCTTATCTCCCCGCAAGCCGTGCTGCCCATCCCTGGTTGGGATTCCCAGCACGCACGCACGCTCGCCGTCGGCAGTGTTCGGTTGAGCAACGAGCCGACCTGTTCGGGTTTTTTTAATCGGATTAAGGTTTTTCTCTCACAACGTTTCCGTTTATAAACAGAAACAGTAAAATTTCATAACAGCCGAGCCCAGCACCGGCTGCCTGCCTGCCAATCATGGCCTCGCCGCCGCACTCACGTACATAGTAGCGTGTGCGTGTAGTACGTACTACCGGATTTGCTGCGTTGCGGTTGCGTCCCGTCCCGTCCCTCCTAACAGCTTGCAGCGCCGGCCGGTCTGCGACGGCGACTTGCCCGTGCTACTGGCTTGTTGCCTGTCGCTCTGCTTGGTCGTACTCCTGTACTAGCTAGTCCTGTGCGACGCCGAGCCTACCTGATGCCACGTCGCAATCTTTTGCTCCTAAGTCCTACCCGATGACTGATTCTGAATTGAGTAGTTTCCACTCAAAAAATTTACACCATATCACGTTAAATATTTAATATATGTATAAAATATTAAATATAGATTAAAAAAATAACTAATTACAAAATTTACGACTAATTTAAGAGACAAATCTTTTAAGCCTAATTAATTCATAATTCGATAACAAAGTGCTACAGTAGCACATGTGTTAATAAATTAATTAGGCTCAATAAATTAATCTCATGGTCCCGATAGATTCTGTAATTTGTTTGATTTAACAACTAAAACTTTACGTCCTAGATGTAAAGAAGCCCTGAATCAATGCCAATTGGGACATCGGAGCACACTCACTGTCAATTAATTCACACAAGTACAAACACAGTACAGTTACAGGATCTGTCGAACTCGACCGCGCTCGCTCTCAGCAGCTCGGTCGCAAAAGGGGGAAGAAAACGAAAGAGAGAAAAAAACCCAAATCTTATTGAAAGCGCCGGGACGACGACGCTGGAATGATCGAAGGTAAGGTATGCCGCAGCAGAAACCAAAAAAAAAAAAAAAGAGTTGGGATCGGAGGTGCCGGAGAACTGCTGGAAGCTGGATCGACCAACCGATCGACGTCGGTCGGTCACAACTCAGACGAGGCGGCGGCAGATGGTGATGCCGTCGGCGATGGCGAGCTGGCAGACCTCGACGCGCTCATCCTTAGACAGCCTGACATTCAGGTCCCGAATCGCCGCCGAGAACCTCCGATCCAGGTCATTCATCGGCGTCTCCGGCGGCAACGCCACCGTCCCCGCCCACAGCGTGTTATCATACACGATGCTCCCGCCCACCCGCACCAGGCGGAGCAGCTGCTCGTGGTACTTGACGTAGTTCGGCTTGTCGGCATCGACGAACGCGAAGTCGAACGCCCCGACGTTGGCCTCGTCGGCGAGCAGCGCGTCCAGGCCGTCCAGCGCCGGGCCCTCCCGGAAGTCCACCTTGTGGGCGACGCCGGCCTTCTCGATGAAGGGGCGCCCGATGTCGTAGTACTCCCGGCTCACGTCGAACGCGATCACCTTCCCGTCGTCGGGGAGCGCCAGCGCCGTGGCGAGCAGGGAGTAGCCCGTGAACACGCCGACCTCGAGCGTGTTGCGTGCGCCGGTGAGCTTGAGCAGCATACGGAGCAGCTGGGCCTCGTCGGGGGAGGACTGCATGAACCCCCACTCGTGCTTGTCGGTGACGAGGCGCAGCTCCCGCATGCAGTCGGCCTCGTGCGGCAGCACCGACGTGTCCAGGACGTACTGCGCGAGAACGCGAGAGAGATCGTTGTTGCCAGAAGATGACTAATAATGACATGCAGCGCGTAGCGTGTGGAGAGATTGTACACGTACCTTGTAGAGGGCCTCGCTCTTGAGGAGCGTCTTGTTGCTGCTGTCGAGGCCGGTGTGGACCTGCGCGATGGTGTCGCCGCTGGGCGCCATGGATGATGGATGGATGCCGGCTGGTGCAGGTGGTCCTACTGAAGCTCTGGTTTAGCTAGCTATATAGGTCACCCGTCCCACTGCTTGTAGCTGCGTTCGACCTGGCAATGGCCACGACCATATTTATGAGCTGGGCGGAGCGGAGTTGGTGACAGCACGACTGTTTCCTGATTGCTCCCGCCACCATTCTTAGGCACTGTGCGGGATGTCGTACGAAGTGTTAAGATATTAATAGAAAAAACAAATTATATTAATTCGTCAGAAATGAGACGAATCTATTAAACCTAATTAATCTGTCATTAGCATATGGGTTACTGTAGCATCATATTTCAAATCATGAACTAATTAGGCTTAAAAGATTCGTCTTGCAAATTAGTCGTAAACTATATAATTAGTTATTTTTAGTCTAAATTTAATACTCTATGCATGTGTCAAATCATTTGACAAGATATCTAGTAAACTTTAGACGAGGAACTAAACAAGACTTTAATCTTTTTCTACTTAAAACAAAGCAAAGCAAAGTGCCGTAGACTTTACACTGGAGCGGGCCGGAGTCCTCACCAACCCCCGGACGGGCTGTTTATCCACTGACGGAAAAAGGGGGGAAATTCGCTGAATTCTGTTGACCCGGCGAGACCACCCACCAAACACGATGAAATTAATTATCTTTTCGATTTTTTTTTCGCGCCTTGCGTTGGATTCGATGGAGGGAGACGTTTAAGTATGCGATGCCTGACTGAACCTGCCGTGATGATGATGCCTGCTCGTCCGCCGTTGACGGAACGGAACGGAGCGGAGCGGCGCACCATCCCTATCGATTCCTACCTCCGCCACCTGCCACGACCCAACCCACGCACCCACGCCATCGTCGTGACGACAGCAGCGGGCATCGATGATCCGGCGCGATTTCATTTGCTGTCTGTCACCCGGTAATAATAGTAGTATAAAGTATATACGTGTGCATGACGACCGTCGGTGGGTGTGCCAAGTCCGTAGACAGATCTGTCACAGGGCTGGATGGATCAAAGTAATGAAAGTAAGCCCCTGTTTAGTCGTAGGAATTTGGATTTTGGGTTATTGTAGCACGTTTATTTTTATTTGACAAATAGTGTTTAAATATGGACTAATTAGGCTCAAAGCGTTCGTCTCGTAATTTCCCATAAAACTGTGTAATTAGTTTTTTTTTCCGTCTACATTTAATGCTCCATATATGGACCGTAAACATTCGATATGACAGGTACTGTAGCAACTTTTTAGAAGTTGAGGTGGAACTAAACGACGGCTAAGCATATGTGCCGCGTGCGTGGACTGTCATGAATAAGCATACTTTACTGTTGAGGCAGAGAGATCGATTAAAAAGGGTATGTTTAGATAGATAGAGCCAATATACAGTTACCTGTAAATAAGACAGATCTACTAGCTTTCTAGCCAATTGTTAGCTAATTAAATACTTAATTGTTAGCTCTAAACCAGCTAATAGTTAGCTAGCTAATTAATACGTACTACTAGCTAATCTTGCCTGTTAGATCAAACTAGCTAATCATTGGCTAGTTAATTATAGCTATGAGTTATTAGCTAGCTATTCGGTAACTATTAGCGGCTAATATAGCTAATAGTTAAGTAAGCATATGTGCCGCGTGTGTAAAGTCTGTAGACGGTGATCGATCTGTTACAGGGCTGGATGGATCCAAAGCAATGAAAGTTTAAGTAAGCATATGTGCCGCGTGCATGGACTGTAATGCATAAACATAAGCCCTGCTTGTATTTATATAGCCAATAGTTAGTGTTAACAATTAGCTCTTTGGATACAAACAGATTCAACCAATTGTTTAGCTAATTGTTAGCTGAATACCTAACTAATAACTAATTCACTTGTTGAACCAAACTACCTAATAATTGGTAATATTAACTGTGAACTATTAGCTACCTAACTATTAGCAGCTAATGTATCCAAACAAGTAACACTTGTTATTTGTGCAGGTGCATTGTGGACAATCTGGACAACAAGAACGATGTGGCGATCAACAAGAAGGTGCTATCGTCCCCGTGGCAATCATCTACAAGACTATATCACTGATTAAGACTAAGCGCCCACTTTTGAAAATGAAGCTGAAGCCTAGGTGGAAGAGATGTTGGATCTGATTTCGGCCAGTGTCCACTAGTTTTAGCCTTCTTGCCAAATCCTTGTTAGCTTAATGTCTTTTAAGTCGGGATGAAGTTTACTCTGCTGTGACGTTTTCTGTGGTGGCTACTTAGTCGAGTTAGTGTACGTGTTTAGCTTAAGCCGAGTTCGGTTTAGTTGTTTCCAAGCAGGTTTGCAGCAAACTACTATGTAAAAACTGGTAACCCAAGTTTTGGATTTTTGTGTTTGTTATGCTTTCTAATAAAGCTGGGTGAACGCCTTTGATCTCATTTGGATCCAAACACAGCCATACTTTACTGATGATGAGGCAGAGAGATTGATTAAAAGGGTATGCTTACATTGATAGAGCTAATAGTTAGTTGTCAATAATTATCTCATTTGAATCCAAACAGGTCCAACTTATAATCTAGCTAATTGTTAGCTTAAAAGTGCATTTGTTCATGTTATGGGGGGTTTTGGTGTATTAATGCCATCCAATTTTGGGCCTAATGTGTTTATCGAGTTTCGCTAAAATTTGGCTTTATGCTGATGCTTATGCTGATTTATTGTGAGAAAAAAATATTGTTCATTCGCTGAAAAGTACTACTGAAGTAGTGCTGAAGAACATGTTATTGTAGCTATTGGTCCCTTGAAAGACTTAAAGACTGATTTCAATGTTGCGGTACCCCTCAATTCGATGATTGAAAGGTTTTCGGACTCGAAGTGGATTAAATTTATTTTATATTTTGAAATTAAGTTTAGGAAACATTGTACTAAAAAGAGAGACACAAACCACATTGGTATGAGAAAGATAGAGTGTTTAAGTACCTAATTAAAATATATTATTAAGAGACACTTGAACACAACCCGGGCACATTGGGTAAGTTCTGAAAGTTAGTCACATTGGAAGTTCCGACATACATAGGAAGTTCCGATGTGTCCTTGCACAGCCCAGCACAGGTGCCATCGGAAGTAAGCTTCCGACCATAGGAAGTTTCGATGTTGCTCGCGCACACACAAGCCTGCCTAAGTAAGTGCATCGAAAGCTGTCTGCTTCCAACCATCAGAAGTTCCGATTTGCGTTGAAAGTTTCAATGTCTCTTCTACATACATAGCCTGGTGACCGTGTCCATACTATTCCTAATATGACAGCCTAACATCGAAAGTTCCGACCTGTTGTACGTCAGAAGTTCCGATGTCGACTAGAATGACTAGAAGCTGCTTGGAGTATAAAAATCTCACTCCACTCACTTCTAACCGTTAGGGATCTCATTTATTTCAATCAAACTATAGCCAAAGCCTCCATCCAGCATTCAAAACTCTCCCCACTTCTCCTCTTTGCTCTCCAATCCAAATCTTACAAGAGTTCGAGTTGAGAGAGGGGATTTGTTGAGAGAAACTAAGATTCAAAGCTTAAGCACTTTACTTCTTCGTCAAGCCAGTTGGATTCACATTCATTACTCTTGGGGCTTGGCCCATAGATGGCAAGGCATCCCTTGGGAGCTCTAGATCTGTGGGAGAGTCCCAAAAGGTTTGTATTACCCTTGAGTGAAGAACTTAAGCTAACCTTTGTGGTTGCATGAGAGAGGTAAGGTGGTCGAAGAGTGAAAAGGATCAGGCAAGCCTAGAGGTGGGGTTGAAATCCCTAGTTTGGTTTTGGCAAATTGATGAAACCTATTTGGACTAACCCTTTATCTAAGTGATGGATGAGTTAGGGTGGTCCAAGTCTAAGTGGTGGAGCAAGAAGAAGTCCATGGTGATGAAGGGGGACAAGTGATGATGATCAAAGCTCCAACTTAGAAAAGAAGAAAGAGAAAAACAAAAATCCTATGGAGATCAAGGCAAATGTATAAATAGGATTTTGTTTTGTCAATCAAGACACCATAGAGGGTGTGATTGGATTTAGGATAGATAGTCGTACTATGAAGAGAGGATAATCATGTTTAAAACGGTTATCAAGTGTAGGTGAATTTATACTTGCATATGCATTAGGACCTAGTGTGCTAACTTAACACCCTAGGCTCATTTTCTTTGGATTTTGGTGTTTGATGACCAACACAACCAAATTGGACTAATAAATTTGTAAGTAATTGTTTTGTAGTTCCATAGGGTGCAAGACGTGACTAGGATGAAGACGACATGATGATCCCTTGATCAACACCATAAGCAAGACCCTAGAAGCAAAAGAGAAGACCCAAGATATCAAGCAAAGTCCAAGCACGAAGATAGGAACCAAGCCGGACGCAAGATCACGAAGAAACAAGCTTCACAGAGGTGACAGGACTCGACCCTTATAGCGACCGGACGTGATAGATCAAGATGTTCAGCAACAACAAGCGTCAGCAGCAGCACCCGGACGCTGAGGACTCAAGTGACCGGACGCGGCGATGGCACTGTTCATCATCTCGGCAACACATTCAGCACTGACCGGACACTGGCGGATGATCGACCGAACACAGGAACTGCAACGTCCGATCGAATCCAGAGAGGTTCTAGAGCGGCGCCAGCGTGACCGGACGCGTCTGATAGACAGTGCCCAAACTCAGCACCGAGTCCGATCAACGCGCTAGCTTCAATGGTCGGGACGACCGAACACGTCCGATCAGGACGACAGCAGCGTCCGGTTAGTAGCAGAAAGCTGGGTTTTGTCCGTAATGGCTACTTTCTCAGTGGGGCTTATAAATAGACCCCTCAACTG